GACATCAAAGCAGGAATCAATGAGTGAAAGAAACAGTGGCAAAATTATTGTTCTCTCTCTCAAACCCAAGGCAAATCCAGTTGCAGCTCCCAACATTTTGCCACACTGTGAATAAATGAATGACAAAACTGCAATTTTAGAGGGAACCACAAAGCTGTTGGGTTCCATAATTCAGCTCATTACAAATAGAAAGAACTTAAAGTTTTGAGCATTTTATCGGGCTAAAACTTTGCAAAGTGATGCCAACTGTTTAAAATCATAAGAGTCAAAACTATTGCNTTTTTTTTGCCAGATTCGTAATTGATCCCGTCTCTCATCTTTCTTCACGCAGAAAGGATAATTTTAGCTCTGTTTTGGCTCTCCAGTATACTGTGGTGAAATCTGATCACCCAATGCACAAAATTTTCCTTCTACTCGGGAGATCAGAAAATAGCAGTCAGTTGTAAAGATGGAAGCATCACATAGTCTGTGTACAATTCTCTCGGAATTGGAAGCAATCCAAGTTAAATTTTGCAGCTTATCAGATACTGTAAATTACATAGATTTGCACTGATACTTATCCCTGAGAAAGTTAAACAAGTCAGATCACTACAAAGCAAAGTTTAATTATGAGTTGGGTTGTTTTTTGTGGCCAAATGTCAGGTCTGAGTATCAGTGCCCTAATGACACAATTACTGTGGTTTATTTGGTGCTATTGATAAAGACCATAATTATAGGGTTTACGAAATGATGCTATATAAATGAATTCAAACATATGTAGGTCATCAGGCATTTAGTGTCCAATGCAATGTGATTTTTGTGCCTGATTAAAGTACATAAAAATAAATTAACTCATAGCTCCAACAGGTCCAGAAAAAATCCTGTCTCCTTAGGTTTATTGGTTTGGTTTACTGGTTTAGTTTACTTACAATTCATGCATTCTAAAGCTGCTATAATGCCAGTGCCTCTATTATATCACAGTTTGACAAAAACAGCAACGCGAGTCATTAGATTGGAGCTATGCTGCTGGCTCTGCTGATAGCATATGATAGACCTCTGTAGGCTTAATATTTCAACATGCTCTAAGCTGTTAAGAATATTTATTTTAAGTTTTAAGATTCTGCAGAATTGTGCAACATTCTTAAAGTTAGTCTTAATTTGAAAGCTATTTTTAAGAGCTATAGATCTTAAAAAGAACCAGCTTGCAAACTAAGATTGCCATTTTCCACAATTCTGCAGAATCAAAATGGTCTCCACTGGTGGAATTTCAGGCCTCACATTAACCTTTTCTTTGCAGAAAATTAAGACTAACCTTTGCTTGCACTTTTTCTGGCTATTTATTCCACATGCACTACATTGTATGGTGAAATTGTGTAAAGCACTTTGAGACATTATGATAACAATAATAAAGCACTATATCAAATGCAAGGAATATTATAATATTTTTATTGTGGAAACAGGAGCAAGTTTAGGAAAACTGGTATTTGAAAACCGAAAGTATATTGTTTTGCACTAGCATTGGCTAATTTCGACGCGCAGCTCAAAAGGGTTTTTCTCATTGTGGACCGAAATGGTATTACCCTACTTTACCGACTTCATTGGGAAGAATCTAGCTCCCTCCCAGTGAAGTCTGATCTATTTTAGATATACAAGGGGATTGCAACAGCCTTCCTTAGAGAAGAATGGGCTCTTCCATTTCTACTGGGTTTCTCCATTTCTTCCACTGTAATTGATTTTCCTCAAATATAATGAAAAGCAATGTAAAGCAACACATACATTTACACTTAAAGCTTCTTAAAAAAATAAAAAGTTAGATGCTCCTTCCAGCTAAATTATGATCCAATTATATATATATGTGGTGTTTGAAACTATGCTGATTTTGCACAAAAGTAGAACTACGTTTGCACGGCAAAATTAAGTGAAGTTTGAACATACTGCACTGAAATTTGACCTTCGCAAAAAGTACATTGAACTTGTACTGAGAACAATGCTGTAGCCACACAAGTTCACGTTTTATTTTCATGTAGTTTGGTCAATATCTCTTCTATTGAACGCCATTGGAATATTTTAAGTTGAACAGCCTGGTCTGTGGCAGCTTTTGGGTTTCAAAATCGGCAGGACTCAGGGGGAGGATATCAGATAGAAGTAGAGAGAGATTGGAGCACTTGGAGAAACAAAAGTCACATTTGGGGCTCCGAACACTTAGCATTGGCAACTGATGAAAATTGAATTAATAACAGGTTATAAGAAAGCAAAACATAAAACCTTTTGAATCATATTTGGAACACTGGTTAAGAAATAAAATAATGCTGGATATTTAACAACTCCTTTTTTAATAATTTTCATAGTAACTTTACTTTATTTGACCTGCAAAATCTATGTACATGTGAACAATGGCCATTCGGATAAGATACAAATCCAAGAATAGGTTTAAATATTTTTTAAAAATTGGGTTGCAATTTTTAATATTTTAACTTTATTCTTTTTAATCAAAAGAACATCTGCTAGTCCATTTCTTTCTCTGACCTATTTGTCTTCTTCCTATCGTTCACAAAATGTCAAAATTGGGCATAATTTGACAGGCTGAAAACTGGCTCCAACAAACTTCATGACATGACAGTCCTTTATTTTTACTGATGGTCTTTTGCCTCAGAGGTTGGATCTCGCTTTGAACATATGGAGATACAAGATGTGCTGAAAGCAATCTGTGGCGCTGTGTATAGGCAAGATGCTTTATTCCCTAAACATATTTGGCATTTATATCACTGTGGGGTTGATCTCACTGACAAAAAGCTGATCAGTGACGTATCTACAATGTCAATGGTGCAGCATGATAATGGATGATGGATGTCCGATGTAAGCTACAAGACTTGCAGCTTCTAATGTAAGAATGTGGAAATTAGAAGGCTGTAATTTTCAGGAAATACAATGGTATAAAGGTTCAATCAAAGCTTCTTATGGAAGGCTGCTGGGGCCAATGGTTGTTCTTAATGGAGATCAATATCTCTTAAGGTTTGAATTGTTCAAATGTGGGAAACGTCAGTGGTAACAAACAACAACAACAAATTACATAGCGCTTTTCACATCGGGATGATGGTCACAAAAGCTTTGTAACAGAGTTACTAGCACTATTTGTTACAATATGAAATTGTAAAATTATTATTGTTTTGATAGGTTAGACATAGAGAAGATGTTTCTACTTGTGGGGGAGACCAAAACCAGGGGCCCTCAATTTAAAATAGTCACCAATAAATCAAATAGGGAAGTCAGAAGAAACTGTTTTACTCAGAGAGCGGTGGGAATGTGGAACGTGCAACCACAAGGAGTAGTGGTGGCGAATAGTATAGATGCATTTAAGGGAGAGCTAGATAAGTACATGAGGGAGAAATGAATAGAAGATTATGTTGATAGGCTTAGTTGAGGAAGGGCAGTAGGTAATTAATTGGAGCATAAACACTGGCATAGACCGGTTGGGCCAAATGGCCTGTTTCTGTGCTGTATATTCTATGCAATTCTATGTAATATGGGATAGTTTGTTTGATCCCCCATGCAATCTTCTCTTTTCATTACAGTAATTAAATAATTCCACAAAGGTAAATACTCATTTTGTATTGTTTTATATCACGCTAGATTGGTAGCATTTGATACTGACAGTGGATGCAAAAAAAGACATGTTCCATTCCTCAGGACATTATTTGTGTGTAAATGTTCATTTCCATATAACTAATGGGATGAGAAATCTGGTATGTTTTATGAGAAATCGCCAGTGACACTATATTTTTGGCTTCCTAGGTTTTCAAAATACTAGCAATAATCCTTGTTGCTCTCCTCTGACCTGACCGACCAAAAAAAATATTTATTTTAAAAAGAGAGGTGACAGATGGAATGATTTCACTAACCATTGGCTCATGCTAATGAACTTCTGCTCCATCTCATGAAACAGTACAAGACCAGCCTGGATCTCTGCTGCAATAAGGCAAGACTCAGTGCTGCAGACTCAGTGAAGCTTGAAAACACAGGTGGCTGAAAGAGGGCTGTCTTCTTTACACCTCAGAGGCTAGGCTTCGTTTCAACGTATTGTGGCTGAGAAACATCCTTTGTAGCAGCTGGAGATTAGTCTGAGATGAAATTGTTAAAGTATTATTGTGTGTCTTTTGGGGATGTGGACCATTTCCTGACATAAAGAGTCCAAAAGGCTGACATAGCATCACAAAACATAGTTACAATGTTCTGTTGAGCTCGCCATGCAACGTAGCACTTTCGGTGCAGGTTATGAATTCAAGCCCCATGTCGGGACTTTACACTCAGTCTAGGCTGATGCTCTATTGGGAGTGTGCTGTATTGTTCAAGGTGCCACCCATGGGGACATTAAAGATCCAATGACATTTTTCAAAAAGGGAAGAGTTTCTCCTGGTGCTTTGGCCAACAATCCCCCAAATGACATTGGTCACTTACTCCGTAGCTGTTTGGGGACATCGCTGTACACAAGTTAGCTGCTGCGTTCACCACAAAATACATAGTCACATATCCCAGTAAAATCATATGAAGCATTTTGAGATATCTTTGGTAATGTGATAAGGCAGTATCTCAAATGCAAGGATTATTATATATCAGCACAAAGATCGTGTTGAGATTACACAGTACTAAAATTAGATTAATTGTCAAAATACTTGAGGCGAGAGCTATGGCCTTATATACTATAGAAATATTTATAATATTGTATTAATAATTATATTATTAAAGATTTAATATAAAGTCTGCATATGTGTCCAGACAGTATCACAGTTGTTGAATCCAGCATAACATGAAAACACAGATACATAAAACATTCAGTCAGCACTCATATACAAAGTAGATCTGGACAGAAGTGATCCTTTGTAATAGCTGTACAAACTATTTCAAGGGTATAGGTTGCTCTATATCTTCCAGAACAGAGAGTTCTTTGTTCATTCATTGGTACAGTGGGTCCTACTTAGCCGCATAGCATTGGAACCAAATAGTTTTTTTTTCTCCCTGATTAGCTCGGCACAGCAATGAGACCGCGAGGGCAACTGACAAACTGAACAAATTGGATCGAGTCCCCAGGTTTCACTGCTGTGAAACATTCAGAGCAGCGTCTCGGGAGAAGATTTGATGCCCCAATTGTACGTAAAAGTGCAAATGGAAGACACATTTGTCTTTAATAATGAGTAAAAATATCAGTGCATGAACACAGGTGATGGAGCTACAAGATTTACAAGCAAATGATACACCCCCACCATCTGATAAGTATCTATACCTTTTCCCTCTGACTTGGTTTGATGAATTTTGTGCTGTCTCCATTAAGGCTGAGAGGTGGAACACTGTTTCATACGACTGCCTTATTTTGATCCTAGCTGCAGCATGATTAGATGCAGACTTTCTCTATTCACTGCGTGCCTTAGACCCAAAAGTCAGAGGAGCATCCTCACTCCCTACTACACTGGTTTGACATTTTCCACAACAGCCACTGTGACCCCTGGAAATGAGATTGCTAATTTAGTGCTATGTCAAGGGACGTTTTGTGTTGTGAGTGCATTCCCACCAGAAACTAGGTTAAGGCTCACTGCAACAACAAATTACATATGTATAGCGCCTTTCATGTCAGGAGGACGTCCCACTGAACTCATTTTAAGTCGGACTTTCCATCCAACAAATAAGGCCAGCCCCAGGTGTTGAGGGTTTGCAAAGCCATGGTTATTTTATGGTGGTGGCTGAGATTGGGCAGATAAAGTAGATAAACATGCTTGCTAGGAAGTGGTTGCAGACAAAGATGGAGTATTGCCTTTGAAAGTATTTAGGTGAGCACAGAGGAGCTAGACCTTTGATCTTGTTTGTGGTTGTGAGACTCTCGCTCTTGCATTATCAATACAAGAAAGAAAAATACAGGCACCGAATAGCTCGGCAATCCTGCTGGTTTTCAGCTTTTCTTCATTAAGTGGGTCTGCAGAATAGTGCCCACTCCAGCTTGTGCATTCACAGCTCAAATCCCTCAGAGGCTCGGATTGGCAAATGTCCCACAAGCACATTGCTTTTAAAAGAGAAGACCAGCTTCCAAATTTTTATACTAATAATCCTTGCATTTGATATAGCACCTTACCACGTCTTCAAGACATCTCAAAGCGCTTCACAGAGTATTCTGTAAAGTGAATTGACTGTACATTTTGTGGCCAATTGTACAGTATCCCACAAACAGTCGTGGATTGAGTGACCAATTTATTATTAATATTTTTGAAGGAATTATTACCCCCGGAAAAGCGATCCCAGGTCTCTCGCTTGAGAGGCGAGTATTCTAATCACTGAGCTACAGGACTCTAAAATGTAAATAACAGATATTATTATTAAATTATTATTAAATTGTTATTATTATAAATTCAATGCAAAAGTAAGTCAAAAGGCATATTCTTTTTTGGAAAAATATAATTATACCATCCCTCACCCTTCAAAGTGATTGGGCAAGACATTGAGTATACAGATGGACATTTCCTATGAAGCAAATATCCCTGTTCAAAACCACAAAGAGAAATAGCAGCCACACAAACTGAAAACATAGATTAGAAGAGACAGCCATTTACCATTGTGAAGATTTCTCTCTTTTGCACTGCTTTTCATGTTTGTTAAAAATGCACAGTCCTTCAAATAATTCTCTCTGCAATTCTACCAAGTAAACACATCTGTGAGGGCAAGTTTCTTTTCTAATAATGACATTCAGACTACAATAGATAAGCGCTTGGAGTCCTATCAGGGCATTTGCCAAAAATGAATTAAAGCCACCCGTCAGAATCAATCAAGTCAGATTTGTGGAGTAACATCCAGAGGCAACATTCTATTTTCTCACTGAAATCAGGTTACTGGATGATCTTTATGAAGCCTTAAATGTAGCCAGGTGCCTGCCTTTCTGGTTATTTTCCATTGCTGGGTGTAATCCAATACATTTGTTTGGTTCTAATGCTTGGTTGTACAGAAGATAGTGCTCTGTTCTGGCCCTACCAAGAGTACTGCATGTGTTGCTGGTTGCGATGACATAAATGGACTGCCCAGTCTTAGAGACAATGCAGAAGACATTGATTCTCAGTGCTAAAGTATAATAAGCTAATGAGACGAGTCAGACTCTATAATGTAACGTTCTAAATGGGTTTGCAAAAGTAAATCCAGAACATACTTTAGGATGCATCAAGATCATAGAACAAGCGGACATCAGTTTAGAGTTGAAAAGGGCAAATTCGGAACAGACATCAGAGGATATTCAGTACATACTATGGACAAACAGGTACATCACCATAAACTGGCTCTGGGACTATACGAGTATGTTGCCAGCACAGATCACCCCAGAATCAGAAGCTGTTAATGATTGCAAGATTGAAATGAAAGATAAATACGTTTGTTTGAAACTTAAGCAATGCTTTAGTTATGCATTGTTCACATCATCGTGCATAAACATCTTACAAATAAATGCCACTTCCCATATAAAGCGGAATGGGTAGGATATCATAAAGAGATGAAGTAGAGGAGAAGGAGCAAATTACCCGACATACATTGGCAGTTAGCAGCAATCAGAGAAAAGGCTTCAGAAACCCTTCCAAATTAAGAACAAATTAAAGAATGGGTGTATTGGTGAAAAGAAATCTGTATTTCCAAAATTCTGCACAAAATAGTTGTACAGGAGAAGACTGCGTGGAATTTTAAGCTTCAGGTATTTGTGTATTCCATTTCAAGAAGAACCAATCAGCTGAATTTTATAGCATTCAAATCCAGGAATATTGTAGAATAGAGACATATAAATAACATCAATCAAACCTTCAGTACTGTGTGTAAATTCTTTTAGGAGATTTCAATTCAATGAGTATCCTTTACTCTCTTACTATTGCATCTTTCAATATCCTTCTGACAGGTTCCATTTCTATTTATGAGTCTCCCACTGTACATCACTATCTGAGAGATGAGATCTTATTTACCAATAAAAAACTGTGCATTGTCTGTCATGCTGGAATATAGCAGCACACAATATTTACTGTGACAGTGGCACATACAAGCAGTGAAATAACTTTTACATGAAACAAGTTTTGACATGAATTGCAATAGCGTGACAAGTGCCAACAAAAATGGTTTATCAGACAACCTTAGAAGAAGCTTCTTTCTCGAATGTAAAATTTTAAGGTAACTAAGCAGCACTGCACATGTCCAGCTAAGATCATTCTAGTCATTAGGGCTTTGACTTGCATAATTGAGATATACCGCATCTGTATTGCCATGTCTCATTGATGAGACAGGCTTGGCAACCAGCAACTGTGTGCTGAAATACTACTGATCTGACTGGCCTCGCCAGGAAAATCCCTGCAGAGTTAGTGCAGCCCCAAGGAGATCATGGTTACTAAAGAAGATATTTTTAGATGTGGTACTCATTTCATCCACCTCAGAAGTGAGATGACGTTCAATATAATAGAAATATGAAGTTTGCATGTTTATTGTTAAGTAAAACATTTTCGTAGAGCAGGCACCAATATTCCAAAAAACGTCTTTTGAGACGTTTCGTTTTATATAAACAATAATAAGATTGATATAGCTTTTTAACACATCAAAACATCTCATCCCTGGTTCACGTAGACATAGGGAAGATTTTTCCACTTGTGGGGGAGACCAAAACCAGAAGCCATCCATATAAAATAGTCACAAATAGAGCAAATAGGGAAGTTAGAAGAAATTTCTTCACACAGAGAGTAGTGGGAATGTGGAACATCCCACCACAAGGAGTTGTTGAGGCAAATAGCACAGATGTATTGAAGGGAAAGCTAGATAGGTACATGAGGAAGAAAGGAATAGAAGGTTATGCTTGAAGGCTTAATTGAGGAAGGACAGAAGGAGGCTCACGTGGAGCATAAACACTGGCACAGACCAGTTCGGCTGAATGGCCTATTTCTGTGTTGTATATTCTAATGTATTCCAATGTGGTTTTCTATAAAGTGTAGCGACTGTTTTAAGCAAAGGCAGCAATCAATTTGAGCACAGCAATGTCCCACAAACAGCTGTGAAGTAAATAACCATTCCTCCACCCTCTGTGTGGGATTGTTTGCCAGGACACTGAGAAACTGTTCTCTTTTTGAATATTCGCACGCGATCTTTAACAAGAAGAGACAACCGGTTTCAAATCTCATCCAAAGAACAGTAACCAATGCTGCACTGCTTCAACACTGCATTGAAGTGTCAACATAGACTGAGCCTCAAAGTCCTGACATAGGGGTTGAGCCTACAACTTTCTAAATCAGAGGAGAATGCTTCCAAAGGAGTCGGACTGACTATAGAATACATCGGTCCTAGGTTTACTGATTTGATAATCCATTACTGTGAGTTGACTTCATAGGATCTGAAAGCTCTTCAAAATGTGTTCACCTGATACAGGAGTCTGTGATCGCTCTTTAACATTCCAGTTACCGTGGATCATTTGTAGATATTTACTATTGTAATGTACAAATGGAGTCCTGTAGCTCAGTGGTTAGAGCACTCGCTTTGTAAGTGAGAGACCTGAGTTCAATTCCAGGCAGGGAGAAACCTTGGGCAAGTTTCCTTACTCCACACGCCTAATAATAATCCCTCCAAAACCCAAAACAATAATAAATTGGTCATTTTCAATCCACGACTGTTTGTGGGACTTTTTGGGGGGATTAAGCTACAAATTAGTCAAAAGAGCCATACCATACTGCAGAATTACTCTCAGTGATGGGAATGGAGGGTTCAGTTCCACCTATAATTCCTCAATATCTGACTTGTTTTTCCACTCTAGTCACTATTCTTTCTAGTATTATCTTATTTTCTGTGTGTTTTTTTTAATGGCTTTACTGTGAATTTAATATGAGATTGCACTCCTTTCATCTTCTGAAGACATGATCTGAATGAATTTTTGAAAGTTTCCACACATTGGTGAACTCATTTAGTCTGTTGGCTGGATGATAGCCATTTTCCAATAAGATGGATGATCTATTTGCTTTTTCTTCCCAAGACTCCTATGATTGAGATCTACAATTGACCATGTAGTAAATCTTAGGCACGAATCCATGTATCTGCTGCTTTGAGTCCCAGCTGTTGGTGCTCCAGTGGCTTTTCTGGATTGCTTTGCTGCTTCAAAAGAAATGGGAAAAACAAGAAAATAACTCACCACCTGCCAGTCTCTCATGAATCTCTAAAGCGATTTTAATTCATTCAAGGTCACAAAGCTCCCAACAAAAGTCCGGCAAACTGCAAAATAAAAACAAAGCAAAATCTTTTGGGTTTCTCTCCAGCGCCGACATATTTGCCTCTCCTGTTTTCTCTCCTCTCTCAAGCACATTGTTAGGAAATATGCTGGCAGTTCAGATGTCTACCTCCCAAAAATACCACAGCAAAGTTTTAAACACTTTAATAGCAAACGTTTAAGTCAAATCAGATAACTAAGCTAATAAAGCCAAAATGAACTGTAAGTGAATCAAAACGTTCAAGATTTCATTCAAATCATGTCTTCCAAAGATAAAACGGATGCAGTCTGATTATGAATTAAAAATGTAAGCAACAAATGCAACTTCATATCCCTTACCCTACTTGCCCCACTAGTGGCAATCAGGCTTTCAGCCGATCCCCTCCGATTCTCCGGCACTCTATCTCTCCATCTCTCAACTCTTTCAAAGTTTGCCTCAAAACCTACCACTTTAACCGTGCCTTTGGTCATCTTTCCCCTACTGAGGCCCCTCAGTTCCCAATCAGGTCGAGTGAGAGGACTGTTGAGCACTTTAGGATGCCCTCCCGACATGAAAAGTGCTACATCAATGTAAATTTGTGTTTGAATAAATTTAAACTACAAAGAACAGCATTCACGTGACAGTGAGATATTGAGGAATTGTAGGTGGAATGAGGAGGCACATAATCCCATCACTGAGAGCAACTACAACATGGTATGAATTAATAACATTTATGTCAATTATGATTATTACTTCTTGTAACAGAATGCTCATAAAATACAGAACCATTTGTACATTAGAGCAAACAAGGAGCTGACACAGGTTTCCATATGCACTCTACACCCATGTTGTACTGTTCCGTGATTTTGCCCTCCTCCAGACATTAACTGCACTACAAGTGGCTCCCTACTTTTGAAATATGACAAACCAAAGGCCAATGTTGAGTTATTCCCAATTTTCAAGTCAAACTACAGCAGAATAAATCTCCTCACTGTCACCAATGATATCCCTCAACTTCAGAAGATTATTCCCTATTGTACCGTGTATTATTTTCTACTTCACACATCAGCCATCCTGTGGCCTGTTTAAGTGAGATTGCCAAATTCACGTCACATTAAAGACAAACTAAAGCTGCCTTTGGTTTGGTACTAAATTGACAATCTAATTGAAATGCTCACATTTGTTTCAGATTGTACAACAGACATTGACCATAACCACATTAGTCTTGGCTGGATTTGAACCCTGGTGCCAGAAGGGAAAAAAGGCCAATGGGCAAAAATTGCAGGGATGAAATAAGATCAGGATTTGTGATGTACCAATGGAAGACCATTCGAAAATGCTGATGCATGTGGGTGGTAAGTCAATGTTCCTCAGCCTATTAATATTTACTTGCCAGGCTGAAAGCAGAGCTGTGCATTACCAATGAGAATGGACTAGATGGTGCCTCCAGGCATTGTGAACCTCAATTCAACAAGCATCACAAAAATAGAAGTTGACCCATGACTGCTTCTTTCCCAGACTATATGATTGGTTTAGATATACTTGGGTCTCAGAGCCCAATGCAAAACAAAAAGCAATTCCCAGCACTGTTAGTTTTTTTCTTTTTTTAAATAAAAAGCTCTTTAACAGATGGAAGCAGAAGTGTTGTAAGTATTTTGTCTAATCTCGCTCCTCCTGGTTTGTTTTCTCTTCAGGACATGACCCTTTCCTAAAAGTGAAAATCCGCACCAGCCTAATCCTCTGCAAAATTGCTGTCTCGAGCACATCATTTAAAAGAAAATGATTGTAATATAATCAGACAGTAAATATTTTAAAATTAAGCACTGGAACAGAATCATTGGCTCCTGGAGTACTGGCAGACATCCAGTGTCAATGAATGTGCTTGGATATTTACAACATGGACTGGTCTGGCAGTGATCTGATTTAGCATTCATTCTGTCAGAACTATTTTCATTTTTGGAAACCCAAGTTTATACAAGCCCCTTTGCTGTGGCTAGCTATTAAGTATAACAAGCTGATGTTTGCTTACAGAACTTTATTAATAAGTCAAGGTTCTGAGTGCAGTTCCTTAATGATATTTTAGATTGCCATGCTGACATTTGAAAGTACTTTTCTAATGTCTGTGCTAATGAACGGTTTGAAGGATTCCAATCAGAGGGCAGGATTGTGTGCTTTTACTAAGATAATTGGTTAGTTTCGCAACACTTTAATCTACTTGCTCGTCTCAGTTTCAATCCGATGTGATCAGTAATACTGGGCAAATATGGAAAATGGAGATTCACAGTTTAGAATAAAGCTCTGAAGGTTCAAATCTAAAAGTATCTAAATTAACATGTTGATGCCTGTGTTAGCAAGTACACAATACTAATTGGGGTGGTTTCTGGAAAAATATTTTGAGCCATTTTCCTACAAATATTACAGTATTGCATGTCCATGATCTAGTACCCGTTATCTTTAGTCATTAGTTTTGTACAAGAATGCTGATTCTTAATGTTCTATTTGAAGAGAAGCATCCAGGCTTCCGACTGGTGGATCTATCACTCAATTGATGGAGTTGCATGTCCAGGCTCTATGCAAGAGGAGTGGTAGCAATGCACTTATGCATTTTCTGCTGGGTTTGTTTCTTTTCAGAAAATTCTCAATGAATTTCTGGTATCTCCCATCTATCTAGTGAGGGCTCAAACCTTGTTGTAAATCAAATGACCAACCAGTGACTAACCTCCTGCTGTGGGGAGAAAAGTAAGGGAAGTCTCCTTGGGGCTGAGCCAGCCACCGGAGTTTCCTAGTGTTGGCATTTAAAGGAATACATATTGTGGCAATGCAAAAAAAAAAGCTAAGACTTTCAAATATGTAGGTTAACAAAAAATGCAAAATTTATCAGAATTATTGAGGTCAGAGGATGGACGATGTTGTCTACTGGCTGGGACATTATGGGACACTTTCTTCTGTACATACTGTATTGGTCTTTGGTGTTTGTAAGTAACTCAGCTACATCTCATTGGTTGTTTTTGCCATTTTGAAGACCCCGAGAGACTGAAAGCTTCAGTCAAGTTTTTGAACAATCATTTGGCAACCTTGTGAACACCCTAGTGTGTTCGGAATGCATTTTGGTTGTTGGAAAATAAATATTGTAATACATTATTGTAAATTGTTTGTTAGAATCCTTTTGAAGTAGCGAGGAGAATTTGGGTCTCTGCCATACATCTTGTCATATTGCCATGTTCTGTGTTTACTGACTGCATTGGAGTGGGGAAACTCAGTTGTTAAGCTTTAAGCTGCTTATTTCTAGGAGGTAATGTCGTAAACTGCCATTATTCAACATCAGTCAACTTAATTATTTAATCCTTTGTTGTCCCCATCTTCCGAAGAACGGACTGATGTTGCATTCAATTTGACAGATGCTGGTGGCTCTGCTGCACCCGATTCAAGTCTCCGTTCTACATGTGTGAGCCGAGGCAATGAATATCTTTAGGCTGTTGATTATGAGGAGAGAGAATAAGAGGAATCTGTTAGTGCCCTCATCTAACATCCATCCATAGGGTGTATAGTGATCAGCAGGGGGAACTGATATTTAGTTATCCATTCCCGGAGGAACAGAGGCGAACTGTATGAAAGAAAGCTTGCATTTTAATAACACCTTATGCCAAAAACCTATCAAAATACTTCAAAGGTAACTGGTGACTTTTTATGGACACTTGGAGACTCAGAGTGCGTGTTAAGATCCTGCTGACATTTAAGAAACTGAAACTGTAAAGCTTGTCATTGAGAGAACTGCCTAGCAAGCTTCTTGCTACTTGTCAAGCTAGAACTATCCCATCCATTAGGGCTTCATCTTGCAGGAGCTGAGTGGGAAGAATTCCTGCTCCCAGTGACTGGTCTTCCCCTCCAAATCCTTCTGATAAACTAGTCTGACTGGTCTGTTATCAGTAATGTTGGAGTAATTGCAAACCTGTTTGGCTCAGGAACTAAACTGCTGAACATCATAGAGGGCTGATGTGGGACAGAAAGTGCACTTCAGATGTACATCACCAAGTTGGTCTTTCTCCTCTCCAATTATATTGCATACCTCAAAATATCCTTATTGTCCACTGAGGATAGTTGAGATCAATTTAAGATATACTGATGGTGCCATGTGGTTGTAAGAGATCATACTGGAAGAAGCAGTAAACAAAATAGCTATTATAATAATAATAATTCTTGCATTTGATATAACATCTTATCACATCTTCAAGATGTCTCAAAGTCATCTCCACTACATTATAGTGTAACAACTACAATATTTGCTAAATCCAATATAGGAAGTCTACGAGCTACATACCAGCTTATGTTTTACTGATGGGTTTTAAATGTTTAATTTGATCAACTATTCATTGTAAAACTATTGCAGCAACATTGTATTTGATCAGTTGTTTGTTTATATATTCTGTTTCAATTTTCTTATTACCCAGATTTCCTACTAATGATCAAATACCTCCAGCTATCTTCCTGAATATGAATTTAGTGTAATAATGCCAGATACAGTTTGGGAATTGTAATTAACTTTGATGCACAATTTACCAAAGTGAGAACATTGTGGAAGTTTGATACAACCAGGCTTCAGCCTCAAATTCCTCCTCTGTGTAACTCATGCTCATAATCTTTGTCTTACAGCGTCCGATTAAACGTCTTCCATTCAATGATTGCATTGTTCAAAGGCTTGATTATCTGTAGCACCACTTTTCCAACATCTATGGAACACAATTATAAAAGAAGAGTGTTAACAGCATCATTAGAGCTGTTGGGCTTAATGAACTGAATGGCTACTTTATGTGATGTAATTTTTAGAATCCTATGTGAATATAGCAATTTAAGAAAGCTTGAAATTCCCATCTGAAAATGAAAAGGACCAATTAACATTGGCAGATATGAAAACTTGCCACAGTGATCACATTAGGAGTGATTTTCAACATATCTCCGATTCAAACACGTGATCACGTGGTAGTGTTTTTTTTCTGATAGTTCCACAAAAGAAATCTTAATTTCCATTTTGACATTTGTGGCTTGGAAGCCAGAAATTCCTGTCAATACACCCTTCACAATGCCGTTTTCAATTCAGTTGTCAATGACAAATGGCTGGAAATTTCAAAATTTCTAAAGTACATACTCAACCGCATTTATTTGGTTTGTATTTATTTCACAGAAAACATGCACATATACCATTCACAGAAGCATGAGACATCCCAGAAGTTCCTACAGTGCACTTTGTGTCTGTCTGTGTGTTGTGTCTGTCTGTCTGAGTGTGTATAGAAAGATGACAAAAGACACACTAATTTCTTCTGACCTAATTGCTGAGTGTTTTGTAATCATTCGTAGCTATTTGCAGACAGCTTTTGAACACCCTGGCCATCTGGACAGGAAAATACAGTGGCGTTAGTCATGTACTGTAACTACAGTCATTCTACAAAGAAAATGAGGTTTGTGTCTCAGATTGAACCCTTAAGCCCCATTTCCCCTTCAATGGTTTGAAACACACTCAAATCTCTCAGTAATGATGGTCTCTCAAGCTCTGCTACTTTTCAATATAAAAATATTTATTTGCCAGACAGTGGTAGACAAAGCCAGCAAGTCAAGTTGTATCCAGAATGAATACTTCCAGAGTTAGCTAATTCGGGGAAGAAAATGTGATTTCAACAATTTTTATTGGAGTCAGTAAGCCAAATTTTATATTCCTGTACTCCTGTTCAAACAACTTATTGGTGTGGTATAAATAGAGAGCAATGGTTTATGCAGCATGTCTCACAAATGAGATCCAGCAAGATATGATTTTTCTTTGTGGGAAAAGACTTCAAATAGTGGGGAATCTCACTGCAGAACCATTGTGTTAATAATGTGTTTTATTTTTATTTCCACATAGCAGCAAAAAAGAAATCGCTTCAAAAACAAACACGACTGATTGTACTGGCTTTGCAGTACACACTTAGAAAATCATCTTGTTTTCACATCCCCGGTCCTCGTAAATGAGAGAGTGCAGAGTGCTTTGTTGTTGTGAAACCGCCCCCCCCATGAAGAAATAATACTCTGCTCCCAACATCGAGGTTGCAAATAACATCTCTCAGATCAAACAACAAGTTGTGGACAAATTAGAATTTGGCAAGGGGCATTCCTTGAAGGACTCGCTGCCCGAAAAATTGGAAGAGGCGATAATAAACAGTCAAAAAAGAGGTAAATACTGCTAAAGTAAACATTGTGTGGAGAAAAAAAGCAGAGCAACAGCTGTACGTTTTAAACCCCATCCCTAAGCCAGTTTGACTCTCCAGACTCACCGCCTCCCTTAATGCATAGACTTGCTGTGAAAATCTGACAAGAATGACTTGGGCATCAAGAGGGTTATGTAAGATGTTTGTGTCGGCTGAAACCATTCACCCATTGTCACTCAGAAGGAGGTCAGAGCAGAGCTGACATCATTCACGTGGAGGATGGAAGAAACAACAGTCACTGTGTGCAGTGAATGCATTTTAACACTTTTCCTGCCACACTAGTCGCTCCCAGCAATCGGTAACCTTCCCAAGTTATTGTGCACTTCATAAATTGTTTAAATTGAGGAAATATTTCCGAATATAAAACCATGTAATCTGCCACCTTTCAGCTCTAATCAAGTGCTTATTAATATCAAGACATTTAAAGCTGCTTTACTGGAGAACTGGAAAACCTCAGAATTGATAGTCGACTGGGGATGATACGATTAAGCTCCCTCTTGTCTAATCTTTCTGCAATTGAGTTAAAAATTAACTCAGTGTGTGTGTGTGTGTGTGTGTGGGTGGGGGCGGTGGGGTTGAATCTCTCCTGGAGAATAATTTTCCCCCAGATCATAAAACAGAAGTGGCAGCTTTTCTTTATTAACAGTGATGGACAGAAAGAGGTTACATATTTCACAACAATAACATCGGTGGAAATAAATGAGAGCTGACAAGCCTGAAATTGCCATTATGGCTAATGCAAGCGCTCACTTGAGCCATTTTCATTTCCCCTGCACTGCGGTTCAAAACACGTCACATAGCTGCGAATTGGACCCTCTTCAACTACCCTGTGGTCCCTCCCCCGTGCCCGGTGTCTGATCTTGTGTGAAATGCTTCCAGATGCTATCCTACATGAAGGGCACTATGTAAATGCAGGTGTTATATCTATCACAGTGGCAAGTAGGCATGGCAGCTCTTTGGCCTTCCTATTTCATTCCAATGCCCACGGTATCCTCCCCTGAGCCAATGGTTACCAAGGAATAAAGTCAGTTGCTTTGGGCATATTTGGATCAAAGTTTCTAAAAAAATGTCTGACTAAAATTTGTGTTACGTTTAATCCTCCTTTCCTCTCATCACACACAAAATTAAAACTAAACAGGCATAAACACTTGCATTCCCTCAAATCATAAAGAATTCAAATACGTAGTGCCAAAGCCCAGGGAGGGTGGGTGGGTGGGTGAGTGGAGGGGGCAGAAATGGAGCTGAGGAGAGGAAGGGGAAAGGTGGTTGAAGATATTAAGGTGGGTTTCAAGGTGGAGAGGGAGGGACAAAGTGGAGGGACTCTGGGATACAATTCCAGAGAGTGAGGGCAAAGTGGTTGAAGGTTCACCCACTGTTCACCCACGGTTGAAGGTCCACCCACATGAAGCAGGATGGTGTTTGGTAAGAAGAGGGAATGTCTGCCGCAATAAGGTTGAGGAGGTTGTATAGGACAAAACTACAGAGGCATCTGAATACAAGGACAAGAATCTTGAATTTGATCTGCTGGAGAGATGGGAAGGCAACCAAGGATAGGGGCAATAGGATCCTGGAGCATGGCATGGGAGGGAACTACAGCTTCTGGCAAAGTAGCCTTAATAAATGTTTTAGAAATCGGATCATCTGCAATGTAGTTGGTTATTTAGCAATTTTCTGCCCTTCACTCTTGGGCACCGCCCCTTATTGAGGTTAATTTGTAATGTGTGCCCCGGATATCTCACCTAGGCAGCTAGAGGAAGGCAAGGTAGTAGGTATTGGCAGGCTCTTTACAGGGCAAACCATCAAACCTGCAATCTCAAGCAAGGAAAACTGGGTTGTAGGCAAGATTCCTAAATAATTTTCCTCCTACCTGCCCAGGGATTAAGGCCAACATTTCCCCAGATTCCTTCCCACCTCTGTGCTGCATCTTACTGCTCAGCTGAGTAAGATCACACAGAAAGAAAACTAAATACAGCCCCATTTTGACTTTGCTGTGCTTGCCTGGTCCATTCACTTTGGTGGAGGTTGAGAAAGCTTCAACACAAAATGGCCAGTTGGACCATAACTGAGAACAGTTCCCACTCAATGAATGAGAACATGGATTCTTTGGCCAGGCAGAAACTGCCTCTAGATCACCAGGTGAAGATAGCTGTTCGCCCCATCTGCTCTCATCCCTCCAGAATACCTAACCTACTGCCCTTCCATCGCAGCATCAAGTTTAGTTTTCAATGAGAAGATGACTAGAGCAGACCTAGGGGTAAACATGGGAAAGGAGAGTCACAGTTCCAGAATGGAACTTTTGTGCATTTCGCCCACAAAATATACAGTCAATCCACTTTACAATATATCCTGTGAAGAGCTTTGAAACATCTCAACACTGCGATAAGACACTATATCAAATGAAAGGATTGTGATTAAGAATATAAGAACATAAGAATTAGGAGCAGGAGTAGGCCATTCGGCCCCTCTAGCCTGCCCCGCCATTCAATAAGATCATGGCTGATCTATTTTAACTCCACCTACCTGCCTTATCCCCAAATCCCTTAATCCCTTCATCTACAAGAAATCTATCAATCACAGTCTTGAATATGTTCAAGGATTTAGCATCTACAGCCCTTTGGGGTAGAGAATTCTATAAATTCACTACCCTCTGAGTGAAGAAGTTTTTCGTCAACTCAGTGCAAAAAGGCTTACCGCGAATTTTAAGACTGTGACCCCTGGTTATAGTTTCTCCAACCAGGGGCAAAAGTCTCCCACTATCTATTCTGTCGTGCCCCTTAATAATCTTATAGGTTTCTATAAGATCACCTCTCATTCTTCTGTATTCTGGAGAATATAGGCCTAAATTGCTCAACCTATCCTCATAACCCACCCCCCTCATCCCTGGTGCCAACCTAGTGAACCTATATTGTACCCCCTCCAAGGCGAGTACATCCTTTCTTAAATAAGAAGACCAAAACTGCACACAATACTCCAGGTGTGGTCTCACCAGGGCCCTATAGAGTTGCAGCAATACTTCCCTACTCTTATATTCTAACCCTTTTCCTCAGTTAAGGAAAGTCCTTAACTCAATGAAGGGAACAAGTGAGTCATAAAGGAGTTAGAATGATGTGTAGGAAAATGTGCTTGTTACCTTCCTCAAGAAGAGGACACATGTGACTGGATGAAGAGTATACAAGCCAGCAGCCAGAGGAATTCCTACCGTCGCTCCAGGCTCTAGCTCTGCGCAAAAATAAAACGTGTTCTTGCAGAACTCCCACTTGTAGCTACAATATCATCTTTTTTTTAAAAATGATCTGGCAAACAGTGGGTGCAGAACAGCTGCAGTCAGAGGCATCCCTCCGCCCAGTGCAAACAGAAACATTTCAAGGCTAGAGATAACACATAATAATATTATTATTTTAATAACTTGTAAAATATTAAGCTATTGAAATGCCGACCTTGGAGTATTTCGTAATAGCATGATGTTGCTGCTGTTGAATGCAGAATGTATTATCAGTAGTTCAGCAAAAGTTGTGGGTGGTTTCTGAGAAGTCTCTAGATCTATTGGTCTCATTTGTACATGGTACAGTTGGAGTGTGATGCTGACAATATTGCCAACCTGCTCACATAATGTTATTGGGTGACTGAATGCCAGACCCCAAACTTGCTTCTTGTTCCTTTTTTACCTTTACCAACAGAAGCACTGAACCTCAATTCTAATGGAAGTCTGTCTCCCTGTATGTCAACCACTATCGGTTTCCTGTACAACCCTCGCCCCCTTCGCTCCACCATCGATGGCCGTGCTTTCAGTCACTATGCCCCAATCTCTCTGCCTTGCCCCCTCCCTCCCCACTTTCAAATCCCACCTAAAGACCTTCATTTTTGATCAAGCTTATGGTTATCTCCCTCCTTGGCTTGGGGTCAGACTCTGCTACTGTTAACAACAACAACAACAACAACAAGATTCCATTTATAAAGCGGAACCTGTTAAGCACTCCAGGACCCTACCCAGTGCAAAAAGGCTATATAAATGCAAATTGTTGTTCCTGTATCTGTACTCCATGCATGTTTTATAAGTCCCAGTGTGAAATCTATTACATTGCAGCACCACATAACAAAATGTAACCCATTGCAGTGCGAGTTACATCTTAGGTAATTTTTAGGTAATCCAAGCTGGAGAAAATAGAGCAGCAAAGTGTGTCACAAAGGAGCTGCAAGATACATTACCACAGAAATATAAACTGTGCTCACTTAAAAAAATAATGGATTTCAGCTGTGTGATTTGATTCCTCTCCAGTGTTTGATGGAGTCATCGATAGTAACCTCCCGGGAAGATTAGCAGTTACATCACTTCATATAAAAGGACCCAAAGCAGGAGAAAGATCTATTACGTGAGACTGGGTATTTGAATGTTTTGATGAATTTGCTTTTGAAGGACTTTACAATACGTAATGATATTGTGCCCATTGAATCAGCAGATCCAATCTCCCAGAGACAAAAGGGGAGAGAGAGAAGNAAAAAAAGCCCTGGTAACTTGAGAATCAGATGCGATGCAAGGCAAATAAAATCAAGTCAAGTTATTGATTGTGAATGTTAAATGTCGAAAAGTGATTACTTTATCCCTTTATCTGATCAAAGCTTCAGATCTCATGGGTTTTAGATAGAGTGCAGATAGCAGATTGTGATGACATTTCCCAGAATTAGTTTTGGGATTTGCCTGAATTACACAAGGCTGATTCTCACAGATCCATTCAGCACTGGGGAAAAACATACCCCTATATATTGATCTGTGACAGCAGGAGTTCTCCCTGCTCACCACCTGTTTCTTCAGTGCTGGGCTCACAGTGACAAATGGCTGTTATTAACCCAGACGAACAGTGACCCTCAAGATTTTCTGTGGGTGCTCAGATCACACTGGAACAGTGTCAGAAAAGCAGCAGCCTTTTGCTTTATTTATCCCTGGAGTCTTTAATTAATGGAACTGAATCGCGAGATGGAAAAACAAACTCTTCACAACCCAATCGGTTTATCCTTACAAAGGCACTTCCCTCCCCACCCTGACCCCACTCCCACTAACTCAAAAGATGAGCAAACTCTCTGTTCCCAGGCCATTACAAAAAAGGTTGCTTTGAATGATTTGCCTGAAGGGTTCATGTGAATGTTGTGGGTGAATCACCTTGCAATTTTTTCTGCGTTAAGTGAATTGGTTTGAGATTGCTCAGCATCCTCCCAAACAGCTTCAGGTAAAACAGGAACATTCACTAACACTTGAAAGGGAAAGAGGAGCCAAATATATCTCAATACCTCATTAGCACCCTCTCAATTCTGCATTACTGCTGGAGATAACCACCTCGATTGCAATCCACTCCACTCACACATATACACAACCAAGGGCACAATTTATGAAGATTCACTATTTTCACCCATTTGTTTTGATTAAGTAAAGAATATATTTCATATAATTTTGCAATCTGCACTCCCCACTTGGATCAGTCAAGATATTCATTTCTGCTCTAGACTAGTTAGTACAAGTACTCTACCTTAAACTCAAGCAGTAATGAGCCAGCATTTTTAATAGAAAATATAACATAGCAAATAAAACTTACTTGAAGGATAATTTTGCAAAACTCCAGGAATCAACGTTGCATCACAATGTACATTATTCAACAGCAGCAAGTTGTACTGAATGAATAACATTTTCATGCGCTTT